AGAGGAGGAAGGAGGGAGGGAAGGAGGTGAATGAGAGAGAGAAGAAGGAGAGAAGAAGGTAGCTGAGAGAGAGAGGGAAGAAGGGAGAGAAGAAGGTAGATGAGAAAGAGAGGGAGGAAGGAAGGAGGAAAATGAAATGAGGATTAAGGATATTAAGAGAGGAGGGAGAGACGGATGGAAGGAGGAAGGAGGAGGGAGAGAGCGAAGGAAGGAAATGAGGGAAGAATATGGAACAGGGGAAATGAGGGAGGAAGTAGAAGGGTACAGAGGATAGGATAGAAAAGGAAGGAGGGAGGAATGGGGAAGAGGGGGAAGGAGGGAGGAGGAAGAGAGAACAGGAAGGGAGAGAAGGAGAACATTTTAAAGGGTAGGACGGAAAGAAAGAGAGAGGAAGAAGGAGGGATAACAAAGAAAAAGAGAAAGAAACAAGAGAGAATATAACGAGCAGATGAAAGTGAGAAAGAGAAAGAGAGGATATCAGAAGAAGAGAAGGGAGGAGATAGAAGAGAGACAGACAGACAGACAAAAATCGACAGATATAGAGAACAGAAGACAGACAGACAGACACACAGAAATCGAGATAATGGAAAAGAAGAAAATGGCCAAGGAAACCGAACTGGCCAGACATCCATCTACGGCAACCAACGCCACCAATAAACCTTGTAAACTACCACTTCACTCCCCCCCTCCCCCCTCCCCACCTGTTTAAAAATCAGTACCCCCCCTTCCCCCCCTCAGTGACCCTAACCACAAACCATCGCTTATAAAATCAATGTTTTAAATCTCCAGTTTTCGTAATTCCTAAAAGGAGAGATTGAATAAAGAAAAGGAGAGAGAGATAGAAAGAGAGTGGGGGAGGAGGGAGAGAGAGGGAAAGGATGAGAGATAAATAAAAAATAAAGAATGGAAGACAATTAGAGAGAGGGAGAATGAGATAAAAATAGAGTGGAGGGAAATCGAAAATAATTGGAGACAAATGAGACATCGAATAAAAAAAATATATCGGCAGGAGAGAGAGAGAGAGAGAGAGAGAGAGAGAGAGAGAGAGAGAGAGAGAGAGAGAGAGAGAGAGAGAGAGAGAGAGAGAGAGAATGAGAATGAAAGAGAGAGAGATAAAGAAAGAAAAAGAAATAAGTAGAGACAGAGATAGCGAAAAAAGAAAAAGGAAAAAAAAAGAGGCGCTCTAGATTGGAAAAGCGATTTTTCACCCTGTTGTAGATCAGCTCCTAATGGGATCCCGCCAGGAAGACGATGCAGATTCACCCTCTGAGAAAGCTAATTCACTTATGTTCCTTTCTCGTCTCGTGGAGGCTCTCTGTCTGTCGGTTTGTCTGGCTGGCTGCCTCTTTCTCTCTCCGCCCCTTTCTCTTTTCCTCTTCTTTTATTATTATTATTATTATTTCACCCTTTTCCATTCTTATTCCCTTTCTCTCTCTTTCTTTTTCATTGTTTCTTCCCCTTTCGCTTACTTCCCTCCCTCCTTCCCCCTCCTTCCCCCTCTTTCTCCCACTTTCCCTCTCCCCCTCTCCCCTCCTTTTTCCTCTCCCCCTCTCCCTTCCCTCCCTCTTCTTCCTGCTCCTCCTCCTCCTCCTCTTCCCCCTCCTCCTCCTCCTCCTCTTCCTCCTCATCCTTCCCTCCCTTTCTCTCTCTTCCTCCTTCTCCTTCATTCCCTTTCTCTCTTTCCCTCCTCCTCCTTCCCTCCTTTCTTTCTCTTCCTCCTCCTCCTTCCCTCCCTTTCTTTCTCTTCCTCCTCCTCCTCCTTCCCTCCCTTTCTCTTCCTCCTCCTCCTTCCCTCCCTTTCTCTCTCTCTCTCTCCTCCCCCTATCCTTTTCTCTCTTCCTCCTCCTCCTTCCCTCCCTTTCTTTATCTTCCTCCTATCCCTTACTTTCTCTCTCCTCCTCCCTTCTCCTTCTATCCCTTTCTCTCCTTCTTCTCCCGACGGAAAATAACTTTAATCAGAATTACTCGAGTTTCTCCACCACGCAGGTTTATTACATCTCTCGCCTTGGGTCTCGCAGCCATGTTGCGTGATGCGTGTTGGGGAGAGAGAGAGAGAGACAGAGAGAGAGAGAGAGAGAGAGAGAGAGAGAGAGAGAGAGAGAGAGAGAGAGAGAGAGAGAGAGAGAGAGGAGAAAGAGAGAGAGAGTGTGTGTGTGTGTGCGTGTGTGTGTATCTCTCCCTCCTCCTTCCCTCCCTCTCTCTCTCTCTCCCTCCCTCCTCCTCCTTTTCTTCCCTCTCTCTCTCTCCCTCCTCTTATGTGTGTGTGTGTGTGCGTGTGTGAAAGAAAGGGAAGATTGAACAGCATTTTTTTCTCGTTTACTTTCTTCTTCCTTTCCCTCTCTTTCACTCTCCCATTCTTCCCCTTTCCTTCTTCCTTCAGTCTTCCCCTCTCTCCCTCATCCCTCCCCTCTATCTTCATCCGATCTTCCTCTACGCCCTTTCTCTCTCCCTCCATTCTCCATTCTTCTCTCCCTCCGTCCCTCCCTTCCTCCCTCCCTCC